GCAGTAAGGTATCTGGGGAACTACTCTGCTGCTTGCTTCTGATGCTACAGTCCCTAGCAGTATTACCATCAGTCCATAGCAGATCTCTGTCAGGTGTCCATAGGAAACTGGGCAAAGATCAAGGCTAGAATTTTATCTTTAGTATCTGATCTTCCAGTCACCTACACAATCTATTCATTCATCACCTCAGTGTCCTATATTCCATCACTCATTTGGTTTCCTTTGCACCTGTATTTTTTCTGTTTATTTCCTTCCCCACCCTTTTCTGTGTTCCTTTTCCTCAGCTTGGTCTCTCCCCTTCGTTCTTCCTTCTGCAGTGGAGCTGGTTGGAAAATAAACTTCTTTTTCTGAGGAAAAAGTTTGGTGATGTCCCCTACCTGCTGCACCCCCCTCCCCCCCAAGCCTCCCCTTCCTCTAACAGGGGGTGTGACCCTCTATCCTGGATCTCTTGAGAAAATGTTGACAACATGTCATAGAAGCAGGACATTGGCCACCATGGTTCCCCTGCTTTACCTGTGGCAGGGTAGGGTATTCGGTCTGTGTTGTGTTGGGGCTGCCAGTAGTCTTATGTTGAATTTAGATTATGGATTGTATAGGGTGGTTTAGATTGGGATGATCCTGCTCAGGCAGGGGGTTGGACTAGATTCAGCGTTTCTCGACCTGTGGGTTGCGACCCAAAAGTGGGTTGCAAGAACATTGTAAAGGGTTCTGGGGAGGTCCCAGGGAATTGCATGGTTTCCTGTGCAGGCTGCAAGGCTGGCAGCCTGCATGGTGCCAGCAGGCAGCTGGAGGTGTGGTGAGCACACAGCATTGTGAGAACAGCCCCAGGAGCTGGGGAGGAAGGGAGGGGGCTGGAGAAAGAGAGACTGTGTGCGTTGGGGCCAGGGGGTTGTGGGTCATGGGTCACGGCAAGCTGATAATTATGCTAATGGGTCCCAGTGTGAGAATGGTTGAGAACCACTGGACTAAGTGACCTCTGGAGGTCCCTTCTAGCCCTACTTCTCTATGATTCTATGAAAATGGAGGGAAGCGGCAGGATGAGGATCACTTTCATTAAAACCTTGCCATAAAAAAATTAAATGTTTCTCCCAAAAACAAAAATAAAATAAAACTTAACAGTTCTGATTTTAAAATGCTGGTACATCGTGGGAATTATAGGTTGGGTGAGTCATGCTTCCGTTGTCCTCTCTACACAGGCTCCCCGGTTGGATAGCATTGTTCATGGGGCGGGCACCATGTTCTCCCATTAATGGGAGTGGAGGTAACTGCATCATGCTTCCTAGCTGTGATGCATCACAGAAGATGTAATTCTGCTGATACTTCCAGTCAGCTCCAGAAACTCAATATTGATCATTTAAGAGAAGAAAAAGAGGAGATAGTAGAAATGAAGGCTAGTAGTTAAGTGATTTAGGAATGGTTAGAGGTAAAGACATGTAAAAAAATGGGGCTGGACCAACATTTTCAATCGCAACTGATTTGAGAAGAGTGTTTTTCATCTAAATTAACTCTCTCGTGAAAAGCATCTTAATGTAGAAAATGTAGATTGTTTCATCAAACCAAAACATCCTACGCTCAAAATATTTCAACCAACATCTAGGTCTCCTGCTATAGTGCTTGTCCCCAGTCTCCGTTGTCCCCAAAGGCGCCTAAAATTATTACTTTTTAAATAATCTCGTAATCTTTCAGGGCCTTACTCATGACTGTGGAATGCTTGGGGAGGGCAAATCCCTTCCTGAGTAGCTCAGCTTTCTCTGTCTTCATGCTTGTGAAATTAATTCACTCATTCTCCTGCATTCCATACAGTTTTCAATTACACTAAATGTGTAATATAGGGGGGGGAAATAACCTTTTCCCCTGTTGCCAAATATCTTTCCTAATTCCCTAGTCTCCAGGGTCGTTCTGTCAAAGGAGCCTCAAACTACTTCCATACGAGATAGGTAGGTATTTTAATTCAAGGTCGTCCTTGTATTCCCAGTTTTGGGATATGGTGTCTTCTGTCATACCATGCTATGGATCTGCTCAGCTAAGGGTATGTTTTTGTGTGCCTGTTCCCAGTTCTCAGCCTTCTGTAAAACAGCACACTTTTTCTTTTCACTCAAATGCCTTTTTTTTCAAATCCACATAAAATGTGTCATAAAGAATTTAATGTGTTTTGAAGCCCACAGGCAAATCCATCTGTTGTAATTACATTAAATACGGGATTAAAAAAAAGAGGAAATTAAATTAGAAAATGATGCGAAGGCACAGTTGAACTAACAAAAAGACAGGGACTGCAAAAGCAAAGGTTCCAGTGAAAAGTCTCTTTGGGCTGACTGGAGGATGTTGATGAGTGTTTTCTCT